ACCATTCCCACCATTCCCAGCTGAGCCTTGGAGGGGAGAAGCTGCTCCCCAGGAATTCAGAGCTCGCAGGGTCCCGGTTTCTCTGCTTTTCCCGGGAATTGGGAATGTTGTTCCCGAACATCCTCTTTGCTGTGTCCCCCAAACCGTGTCAGCAGCACCAAACTGAGGCAGAAAATGGGATTATTCCTCCCTCTGGGGCTGTGCTGAGGGAACCCTTCTGGCTCTGGGGTGGGTGTCAGGAGTTTGGGGATGGGTGGATGTTTGGGAATGGGTGGATGTTTGGGAACAGGTCGTTAGCAGCACTCAGGCTCTTCAGTTTGCATTTCCATGGGCAGAGGCAGCTTGAGCACTTCCATAGAAATGCAGGAGCAGCAGGGATGTGCTGCCTCTGTCTGCAGAGGAACCTGAACCCCTTCAGAACAGATTTTCAGGGGTTTTTTGCACATAAAGCAGCCAAGATGCACAAGAAAGGAGCGATTGTGCCCTGATATAAATAATTCCCTCTTGTGTTCCAGCCCTGGTTCCTCTCCCTGACTCCTGGAACTTGGACCAGATGTGTTTTCCCAGTGCCTGGGAATTGCTGGGCCTGTTTCAGGCACCTGTTCCTTGAGCTGGGACAGATCTGGAGGCTTTGATGTGCTCTGCAGGATTCATGGATTCAGCTGTGGGTGGCTGGACCAGTTTGGAGAATCCTGGAATGTCCTGAGCTGGAAGGGACCCACCAAGATCATCGAGTTCAGCTCCTGGTGCTGCCCAGGACACCCCAACCCCCCCCCCCCCAGGTCATTTTAGGCATCACTTTTCCTTTTCTCTTTGCAACCTCTGGTTATTCCTCGCTTATTTACTTGGGAGAATTCACCTTTTCTGAGCATTTCAGAGCAGAGTCCCGGCAAGAAAACATTAATGCTTTGTTATTTCTGCAGCAGAACTTTGTGTTGGGGATTGGCCTTAAAGCCAAGTTGTACCTGTGGAATGAAAATCCCATTTTTCTTGGCCTTTTTCCTGTGTTTCTGTCCTGCTGCTGCTGAGATTGAAGCTGATTGATGGGTGACACTGAATATTAACAGAAGCAAAGTGAAAAATCACACTCTTATTTACCTTTATATTTATATTTACCTGAATCATGTGGGGTTTTTGCCACCCTTTGAAAATAAACACGTGCCAGTTGTATCACAGTTCTAATTCTCCTGGAGCCAAATAATGTGATTTATTCAGTATGAAAGTGTTTAACTTAAAGTGACACTGGGTTTTTATGAAGGGTTGAGTTCACATGGGTTTTACCTGTACCAGAAATGAGTTAAGAGGAAGCAGAGAAGCTCCAGTTTGGGTTAGAAATTTGGGTGGGAACCAGGTTAAAGCCCATCCCAGGTTTGGTGGAATATTGGAATTCTGTTTGTCTGGTGGAATATTGGAGCAGTTTTAATGAATCCCCCAACCTGCAACCAGTGCCTGACTCCTTCAGCAGCTGCTCAGCTGGTTTGCAATCGGTGCATTATCTTAACTAATGCAGATTATTTATTTATGCTCTGTGGTTGTTCCACCACTGGCTGCAAACCTGGTTGCCCCAGGACTGAATGGAGCCTCTGGATCGGTGCTTCCAGCCCAGAGGCATCCAGGAGCCTTCAAAGCCTCAGGTGGTTAATGAGGATCCAAAAAGGCTTTGCCTTTAATTGTAACACAGTTAGAATTGTTTGGGATTTTTTTTTCTGAGCCGTGTTCTTAGAAAACTCTTGTTTTCTATTAAAAAAAAAAATCAGTTTTCAGGGTGCTCAGACTTTCTCCTGGCTCCTGGGTCTGTGTGCATGGTCATTATCCCTAATGAGCATGAGATCCACATTGATTTATCCCTAAATAAACCTGCTCCTTCCTTGCAGTGCCTCTTGATTGCATCCAGTGAAAAGCTGCTGCTAAGCTCAGATTTGCTGAGAAAATGAACTTCTGGGGGTTGAATGTGGGAAGTGACAGGTCCTGTGTCGTAAAGGGAACGTGGAAATCACGGATGGGATCCCAGGAGGTCCAGGATCCCGGGAAGTTTGGGGTGCAGGCTGTGCTCCCTTCCCTTGGCACAGAGCTGGCAGAGCCCTGCTGTCCCTGCCATCAGTGGTTGCTGCTGCTGGGTCCCTGCCAGGACCTGGATCCCATTCCCTGCACCAGGAAGAGGTGCCAGGCTGGTCCCTTTGGGGGCAAACCCACCCCCTGAGCCCCCGGGATCCCAAATATCTCTGTTTTAGTGGAGAAAGGGGCAGGGATGTGGTTTTGGTTCCAAGGCAGCGAAAGCCCGGGTGAGGGGTTGTGAGGGGGTGAGGTGCTGCTTCCTCCACCCACACCTTGGGCTGCCAGTTGCCCTTTTCTTTTCTGGGTTTGAGCTTTTTAATGTTTGCAGACTTGCAAACCTGGCCTGATCTTTGGTTCCCCTGGTGCAGGCACCTCGTGGCTTTGCTCTGTGTCCTGATAAGCATCTTCAAAAACTGCTTTGAAACCCCCGTTTCCTCTTTACTCCTTAATCAGAGCCCGGATCTGCAACTCATTCTGTGAAAAGCTTGGGGTTCTTTTGATAGAAGTGAACTCTGTGAAAAGCTTTGGGGTTCTTTTGATAGAAGTGAACTCTGTGAAAAGCTTGGGGTTCTTTTGATAGAAGTGAACTCACCTTTCGAGAGGGACAAAGCTCAAACCACCCCGGTGCTGCTTTGGGATTAGAAAACTCAAAGGGGGAAATGCAAACGTTCTCTGAGCGTGTTTTGGGCTCTGAAATCAGCAGTTTGTTGTTTGTGAAGGTCCGAGGGGACCTTCAGCAGCTCTTTGGCTGCTCAGTGACGTTGTTGGAAAGCCTTGGGTCCCTCGGGGGTGGGTTAAGAGTGAAAGCAGGTTCCTGAGGCTGCAGAGAGAGGTGGTTTTAACACCAACTGACTCTTGATAACTCAGAATAACCCCCCCTTTTGTTGTGTTTGTTTGAAGTGGCTCCGTGGGGATGCAAAGGGGTTTGTTGGGCAGAACGTTCCCTCAGTGATGCACCAATATTTGGATGTTCAGTAAAATGGGGGGGGAAGGTGAAGCTTCCCTTTCCTGACGAGTTCTGTGCTTTCCTGGCTCTCCAGCAGCAACATTCCAGCAGCCTTCCTGGTTCCCTCCTGCTGGAGATGCTTGATGTCACCTTGGAAATAGTCAGGGATGGTTTTGTACCTGACACAGGGATTTTTCTGAGCTTCCGAATAAATCACTGAACTGAGGGAAAGGAAAAGCCAGACTGGGCTCCCTCCTTCCCAGGGCTTTCCAAGGCCCTTCCTGGGTGTAGGGATGTTCATTTTGGCTTGCAATCACAACCAGTTGATGCTATGATTTCCTGGCTTTTCCATCTGGATGTTGTGATCCCAAGCCAGTGCTCACAGCCCATCTCCAGGGATTTCCTGGCCCAGTCAGGGCTTGGTGCTCCCCTTCCCGATTTCCTCTGGAGCTGGGAGGGCAGAGCAGCAGGAATGGACCCTGCTGTGGTGGTGCTGAGTCTGCAGGGCACTGCCAGGCACCTCCAGGGCCCTCTTGGAGCCATTTGGGAATCCTGGAGAAGCGTTCAGGGCTCTGTTTTAATTAAACTGATGATCAGGCTCATCAGTGGCCTGGCCTGGCCCCAGGGTGGCACTTCCTGAACACGAGAGGGCACTTCAGTCTTTGGGATTCTGGCATTGGTGGGTTCCTCTCCTGTTCAATTAAACTCACTTCAAAGAGGGAGAAGCTGCTGGTGGGAGCAGTTCCCTCCAGGGAATTCTCAGATTCCAAGAGTGGCGATCCCGTTCTCTTCACATTCAGCTGCTCAGTCCATCCATTTCTGTTGGGTCCTTCTCTGCCCTCTAATCCTGGGATGTCTTGGTCCTGAATTCTCCTTCCCTGCCCCCTCTGCTCCCAGGATTAGCTCCAGGAATCCCGTTTGCTCGGGGCTTCCAGAGTGTTTCCCATTCCATCTGCACAGCCAAAAATCCTGGCTGCTGCTGCAACCCTGTGCTGCCCAAATGTTGATTGTCCTGGGGAAAGAGAGATGGGAGGGATTGATTACTTGGATTCAGGAGGGATCACGTGGCTTTTTATTTTTTTTTTTTTTTGCAAGAGGAAGTAACAGTGTCCTGGTCAAATTCCAACTTGGAATGACTGCAGGGAAATGTGGATGGGCAAATGTGATATTGTTTGGCTTCTGCTTTGAGGATTAAATAGCTGGGGGGAAGGGAGAATGAGACAAAGGAGTAATTGCCTTAAATGAAGGGGCTGTGGGAGGGATGTCTGAGGTGGAAACAAGCAGGGACTGGGCTGTTCTCAGTCTGGTTTGGGGCTGCAGGTCGGAAATGCCTCCCTTGGAATTCTTCATCCACGTCTCCATTAGTGTGGGTCTGTGTGGAACGTCCCCTGGATGAGGATGGGCTCCCTTTGGGAGCTGCAGGAGAAGCAGAGGTATTTTGGGTGGGGCTGTGGGGGCAGAGCAGCGTTTTGGGGCCATCAGTGCTCCCCAAAGTCCAGGAGAGACACAGCTCAGAGTCCCTGGAGCTGATCTTTGGTGGATGGGGAATATTCATCGCCTTGATTTCCATATCTTAGGAGTCTCCTACCCCACAGAGGGTGTTTGTAACTCCCTGTGGTTTTCCTTGAGACCCCCCCAGCAGCCCAGAGATGACCAACCCTGTTCCCTCCAGCTGGACAAACCCAGGAGGATTTGCTACGATTTTACTGCTTTGGGGTTGGTTTTTTTTTTAATTGACTTTGTTCTCTCCGTTGTCTCTTCCAGATAAAATGTTCAGGGGTTCGTTGGCACCTTTCTCCAGAAGAACAACCCCAGCCCTGCTGTTGCCATAACCCTGGAATTCCGTGCCCTGCCCTCGACACCAGCAGGGAGCCCCCGTTTCGTCCGCCCCGTGTCCATGGACCAGGCGCCGGGCTGGAGGACCCCCCCGACCCCAAACTGCTGCTGCTGCCTCGGTTTCTCTGGGATTGAAGGTGCTCCATGAGCCAGGGCCCCCCAAATGAGTCAAACGGCCAATTCCTGCCCGCAGCTGGTTGAGAACTGCCCGGCGCCCGTGGCGGGGATGGCACAGGAGGACGGTCGCCACGGGCAAGTGCCGCCCACCTTCTACCACGGGGCCAGCCAGGAGCTCGACCTGTCCACCAAGGTGTACAAGAGGGAGTCAGGGAGCCCCTACTCCATGCTGGTGGACAGCAAAATGAGCAAACCCCACCTCCACGAGAGGGAGGAGCAGCCTTATTTCAGGGAGAACAGAGCGGTAGGAGAGGTCCGGGCTGTGAAAGAAGACAGAGAGAACTCTGACGACTCTGAGGAGGAAGAGGAGGAGGAAGATGAAGTGACTTACAAAAGGGAGCAGATTATAGTAGAGGTAAACCTTAACAACCAAACCTTAAATGTATCAAAAGGGGAGAAGGGTGTCCCCTCCCAGTCCAAAGAGACTGCTGTTCTTAAGACCAGCAGTGAGGAAGAGGAGGGTGACAGTGGGGAAGAGGCCACTGAAGACAGTAATGATTATGAGGAAAATGAGAGGCAGAAGAAAAAGGAGAAAAGAGTGGAAAAAGTTAGTGTTGCACAAAGGAGAACGAGGAGAGCTGCCTCTGCTGCAGCAGCCACCACCTCCCCACCACCCAGAACTACAAGGGGTCGTAGAAAGAGTGTGGAGCCCCCCCAAGCGTAAGAAGAAAACTGCAAAGGAGCCCAAGGCACCTGTGCAGAAATCAAAGTGTGAAGAGAAGGAGACTTTAACCTGTGAGAAGTGCCCCAGGGTGTTTAACACACGCTGGTACCTGGAGAAGCACATGAACGTCACTCACAGGCGAATGCAGATCTGCGACAAATGTGGGAAGAAATTTGTGCTAGAAAGTGAGCTGTCCCTTCACCAGCAAACTGACTGTGAAAAAAATATCCAGGTAGGTTTGCTCACCTGCTTGCCAGATTTCCACACCTTCTGTCGTGCCCTGGCTACACTGGTGGACACTTCAGAGGGGGAAATCTTTTGCACAGCCCAGGTTCTGACCGAGGCCTTGTCCCTGCGCAGCGACGCTTCGGGGTCCTCCAGGATTGCTGGGAGAGGAGTGTCCAGCTGCCCTGGCAGCTACTCTGGTGGTAAACCACGAGTTGGGGAGCACACAGAGCTGCTTTACCAGTGTCAGACTGGGCTGAGAACAGCTTGCAGTGAAGCTCTTGGACGGGAGGAACCCTCCTCCCTCGGTGCTCTGGCTGGTGTTCAGTGCCCGGAGCCTCGGGCACACAGTGGTTCCAGGGGGGCTTTCACTGCAGGACTTGGCTGGTACTGAAATTTGGGCAATCCCAGAGAGGCAAGCAGGTGAGAGAGACACCAGTGGAGTCAGGATTTGAACTTGGGTGAAAACGGAGTTTAAAACTCCTGCTGGGATAAACAATCCAGAGGTGATTTACAGTAAGTGCTCCCAGATGGGTGTAAAGTTATGAATTCAGTGCCTAACCCGTGAGCCCAAAGGCCAGTAAATCCCCCTGATGACACAGAAATCCCTGCTCTTTCTCACCAGCAGCTTTGCAGCTCTGCTCTCTCCCCCAGCAGTGGGAGCTGTGCTGCAGCAGAACCCTTGGAAAGCTCGAGGTCGTGGAAGGAGCTGCAGAGTTTGTGATTCCTCCGTGGTTTGGGCTCTGCTCGTGGGCACCTCTGTTCCCCTGGAGCTGGTTGATCTGGCAGCTCAGCCCTGCCTTCCTTGCCCTGTTAAACCCAGCTCAGTGTTGCCCCCTCCCTGTGCAGTGACCCCACTGCTGCTGAAGTGTTTGGGGTTTGTAGGGCAGCAGCTTTCCTGTCTGTCCAGCCAGGATTTCACCAGGATGATTTAATGGCTTTTTGTTTGTTTGTTTTCTTGCTGAAATGCTGAACCGAGTTGGAATTCAGTCCCCACTGTGTGGGAGACATGAAATAATTTATTGCAGCTTCTATTTCCTAAGCCTGACATGCAGCTCTGGGTAACTCTGTGCTGTTCTTCCTTATGTTTCAGCTCATGGGAGGAAAACTGAAGGAAGGACTATAATATAAGATAATGACCCTTGAGAGTAGTTAATAAAATACAGAAACATTTCAGTGTGTCCTTGCAGCTTTTGAAAGAAATACTTCAAAAGTTCAGTGCAGCAGAGAACATTGAAATGTAAATTTGAGGAATGTCCCAGCATCCAGGTGGCTCTTTCACAGCATTAAACCTTTTCACTTTAAACAGGAATTCATGAATAGTTTAAACACATGGTATAGAATAAAGAAGTGTGTGCTTCTGAGGGGATGAATTCCTATGTCCAAAAAGTGGGTAGGAAAAGAAGAAAAAATTGTCCAAATTATGTTTTATGCCCAGAAACTCCCCCAGGTATTTCCAGTGCCAGAAGCACTGCAAGTCATCTTCAAATTCTCAATATCTGAGCGTGCATCCAACAGTTGTTCCTCTGTCCTGACCCTTGGAATGTGTTTTACAGCTTCCTGCTAATGTGTTTTTATTCCACCTGGCAAAAGGAGCGAAGGGGGTGTGAAAATTGTGCTTCAGGGCTGGATATGTCAAGGGAGCTTTGTGCAGGAAAAGGAATGGTTTGATGTATTAGTGGTAATTGAACTGATCAAACACAGTTGGCTCCTCTCTATTTTTCATCCCAGTGATGGGGTATGTCTGTTTTTCCAGGTGATTTCTGATTTTCCTCCTCTCAGGCTCAGCAGTTTCTGTTGTCACCTCAAGCTCTGTGTGGTTATTCTCAGTATTACTGTTCTAATCTAATTAAGTTGCAGACTGACCTCTTCAAGGCCTGGCTTAACTTTATATCACAGTATTTATGATCCTTTCACATCGTTGCTTTGCTCTTTAGGGTGTTTTTTTCCCCCTCAAGGGCTGCAGTTTGTTCCCCACGTGCCTCCAAGGAGGTGTTTTGGAGGTGTTTCCTCAGGGAATGGACCAGAATTCCCAAGCCTGCAGAGATCCAAACGCTGTGGGAGCAGCAAAACTTGTCTGTGCAGAGAAGAACCGACCCAGCCTGGCAGAATTCCTCAATATTTGCTGGTTGAACAGCACCCAGCCCTTCTCTCACTGGGAGGGAAGGGGGTGATTGAGAGGCAGAAAATGGGGATGCCCCAAAAACCCCAAAAATGAGCCACAATTCCTTCCTCTGCACTCCAGAGATTAAAATGTCTTGGTTTCCTCACGTGTCTGCCAGCAAGTTTTACAACTGTTCTGGAATGTTCAAAATTCTACAAGGATCTTTTGGTCAAGTCTTTGGGAAGAACTAACTTGGGAAAGGAAAGAGATGTTTGGAAGGCCGTGGGTGTCCTGCTCATCACTGATTTCATGGACATTTCCTGGGAGCTGTGGGAAGGAATTCACACATTTCTTGCCTGTTGTCACTTTGGGGACCTGCAGAGCTGCTGAGGCCTTTCACAAGTGAAGAACCAGAACCCAAGAGATGGAGGGGACACCTGGCCTTGCTCTCTGAGTCCCAGAATCCACATCCAGAGCTGCAGGATGGGAGCTGCTTTCCCTGGAGAACCAGAAGGATCAGAGAGTTTTGGCCCATTAAACCTGGGATTTGGGTGGGGTCACAGTGCTGCTTCCAGAGGGCTGGATGTGCACATGGATTCAAGGCAGCTTGG